GAAATAACAAAGGTGGAGAAACACATAGGAAAACAAGTATACAAAAATACTTAAATTGGATGCCTGAGTGAATAATGAAATAAAACTTCACAGGAAATAGAAAGTAAATTGAATTTGCCCAATGAACATTTATATCAATTAGCTGCCCACCTGCCTCTCATAAATGTAAGAGTGCTAGGAAAGATCAAAAAAGATCAAGAAATGTTTCTCATAAAAGTTTATGGAGCAAATCACTATAATATCCAAGCATGTATTTTACTGCTAAATGCATCCAAGTCTCATGAAGCTCCCCTAGTGGATGCCTTCATCAAAGGGACATGATGGAAACTTGCTTCAGAACACAGGACTCATGTTACTCTGGCTGTCAGTTAAACATAGTGGGATGGAATGCAAAATTGCATTTTAAAGTGTTCTACTTTATAGTAAATTGTTATAATATTTGTGAAAACTGAGGCTACCTAAAAATATATAATTTGTTGAGAAATACATTTCATGTGCACTAGGTGAAGATAAAATTACCTTGACTAAGTGATGCTATCACAAAGCAAGGTACTTCAGAATCACTTTTAGGAAATAGTGTGAGCTTCTTAATTATAGCAGTTGTCCTTATGAAACATTATATTTTCAAAATATTATGCATGATTGTTAATTAGAAACCTATGTTCTTGTTTGTGCAGGCAGAAAGTTAAGATGAATGGTGGGAAACAGAAAAGGGAGGGACATTTTTCATTGTTTTTTTGTATCTTTTTAAAACCTGTGAATGATTTAATATATTGCCTAGTTTTGATGGAATTAAAAATTTAAAAAGAAATACACCACATTTCTTTGATATAATCTGAAAGCTTTTGGCATAATTAGAATTTACTTCAGTTCAAATCAGTGAATTATTTTTGTTACATATTAGCTCTGCTATCTTTCTAACCTCTCAGAAGTAGCAATGATTATAATTCACATTGGAAAAAGGATGGATTTCTGATCTAAGTTATTTGTTCAGAGGATGTAAATAGCCATTCTTTTATTCAACACTTATGAAGACTCTATTGTGTGCAGGTACTGTGTGAGGTATTATTAATGAATAAATATGAAGATTATCTTAGTGTCAGAAGTATATATAGTGTTCCCAATTAGGAAGACGAGATAAATATCATTTTTTAAACTATAAAACAGTAAATAGTGACATTATTCTTCCCCACATAATTGTTTCATTTATTCACTGTTCATTTATTTGTTTCACGATTTTAAAAAGAATTACGTACTGTTTAAGTTGAAAACAGTACTGTTTAAGTACGTACTGTTTAAGTTGGAGATATTTTAACTTTTTGGTATTTTCGCATAACCTTACTTTTGTTAAATGGTAAATGACATTCTTATCTGAATTACTTATTTTAGGCATAAAATACTATACTTAAATTGCTAACTGAAAGGACCAAAACATTTAACATATAATGTCAAACATCTAGAAATATATCTTCCATGTGAGTGCAGTGCTGTGAGAATATTTGTGCCACTAGTTTTCTTTGTCAAGGCAGCAAAAGCTATTATGAGGCCGCCCAGAATTTGTAATTAATTTGGAGGACTAGCTGATGTCATGGCCACTTTAGAATTAGGGTGTAAAGCAATTTCTGCATTTTTCTGAGCATGTGAAAATGAAAGCTCTTTCCTTCAATTAGAGTACATTTGAGGGCCTGTGGTGGAGGAGGGGAGAAAATTGAGAGGAACATCAGATATTCGCACATTACAGCCTTTTGTGTACCTGGACTGAAAACATTGATTTCTTATCCTTGCTAATGTTTACTTCTAATACTTTCTAAATTTGGTAATGCTTAACTATACACAACCATTATTGTGGACTGCCATCCTTTCTAGACAAGAAGTGGTACATGTGGCTAAAAAATTATCCAACGTACAGTCCAGGAGTGTTTCTTTTTAGACGTGTTCTGCTTTGATTTACTGCTCCCAGTATGACTCCTTTAGATCATTCGCCTTGAGAGCACCCCTGGGTAAGGGAAAGTTCAACCCTATTGCAAATTTTGTGAACAAAGAAGGAAAAGCCTGACACTGACATTGCGGAGCAGCATGTGGGATCTATTTCTCAATGACATAATGAAGTTGTGAAAGGTCAGGTGAAACTGGTTCCATAATGTCACCCTTTTAGATCACATAAATTATATATCTTTAAAGAAAAAAAAATCTTTTTTTTGAGGAGTTACTTTGTGAAGTTGCCTCCACGAGAAGTGACTTAGCATATACAGGCACATTGTTGATTTTTGCAGTTGTATGCGGTGAGAACCTCATATCTTTAATGTGTTTGTTTCTGAAAGGCTACTACACCTGTGTGGAGGTCATCTTCACCCTGAGGAGACAGGTCGGGTTTTACATGATGGGCGTCTATGCCCCCACCCTGCTCATTGTCGTTCTTTCCTGGCTTTCCTTCTGGATCAACCCGGATGCCAGTGCTGCCAGAGTGCCCCTGGGTAAGTGTTCCATGCGTCTCTCTCACGTCAGGAATATGTTATGTCTTTATGTAACTCACTATATAATCAACTCCTTTGAAACAATGGGTCTTAGAATTGATGGCAACCTATTTTATTTTTTTTTAGGCTTTCTTTAAAACCTGATATGGAACTAGATTTTCTCAATGTTTACGCACTGTCATTAAGCTAAGTTTTTCTGTTCATGTCCTCAGGATATTGTAAGCAGTTAATATATTCTACTTTTTCTGTCATAAAATAATTATTAATAAATGATTCTCACAAATAACGAAAAGTCTAAAATCTTCAGTAGTGTCAAAGTTGAAAACAAGTAACTATTTTTATGGCAGTCTTTCTAAATGGTAGTATATACTATTGCATATGTGTAGTCAAGGAATAGTAAAATAATTTATTTTTAAAAATATGCAGCGTCATTTTCTTAAGCACTGATTATCGTGTGCTATATCACAGAGGTGGCTAGAGAGAGTTCGGGCTGGTTGTCTCCCTTGAATGCTCATGCTTTCCAGTTTGATATTTTTAATCTTCTGTGACATAGAAACACCATTAGCCAGTCTTCTGTAAATCATGTCTGTGTAAGGATAAAAACGTCTTTGAGGAAATAAGCAAGAGCCATTCCTATGGGTGAAGTAAATAAACTTCAAAATAAGGACATTGTAACAACAAGTTTTGATTGTTTTGAGTGTCTTTAAATTCTTTATTGCAGTGTGTGTGTATGTGGTTGTGTTTTCTGAATACCACCTGTAACTCATATAAGTAAAGCTGTAATGTATCTGAGCTCTCAGTGAATGGTTGGTTGCTATGTTTAATTTTTTTCTTCCATCAAGGAGGCCTGTGCAAATTACCTCCTGACTTGTTGAAGGAATTAAATGAAGATCAGATCTTAAAGAGTAGGAAACGAGGAAAAAAGCAATGACAACGATAATTTTATCTAAATAAGAAATTTGGGGTTTATCTCTAATAAAAAATGAGCAAGAGCGAGACCCCCGTCTCTACTAAAAATAGAAAGAAATTAGTTGAACAACTAAAAATATATAGAAAAAATTAGCCAGGCATGGTGGTGCATGCCTGTAGTCCCAGCTACTCGGGAGGCTGAGGCAGAAGGATCGCTTGAGCCCAGGAGT